TGTACATAGATAAACATATATATATACACATAAATATAGATACATATAGATACATACAGATACATATAGATACATATAGGTACATATAGATATAACTATATGTATATGTAAATATTTATATACATTTTTAGATATACATACATAGATATACTTATATATATATACATATACAGTACATATATAAACATACATCAATATATACATGTATCAATGTATATATATACACCCGTATATACACACATATATATATATACATATATATATATACATAAATTTGCATATACGCCTATATACATATATGTGTATTTTTGCATATACATATGTATACAACTATACACATATACAAATATAATTATATAGATACATAGACTTATATATATATATACATATGTATATACACATATAAATTTACACTTATATGTATACATTTATATTTGTATACATACTTGTATACATGTCTACATATACATACACATATATATATATATACACATGTATATACATATACAGACGCATATACATACACATGCACTACACATACACATAGACATACACATACACATACACATACACATACATACATACATACCTTGTCCCCTCGTGAAGATCATAAGATATAAGACCATGCAGTTTGATACATTCTAACATAATACAGTAATATATGATACTGGGTGGTATATTATATGATAACAAACAATTATATTATGTTATATAATATAACACACTATAATATGATATATACATAAGTATATACATACATATATATATATACACATATATATACATCTATGTATATATGTGTATATATAATACAATAGAATATAATATCTATTAACATAATGGAGTATTATATCATATTATATTATATTATATTATATAAGAAAAGATTATATTATGTTTTATAATACAACAAAATAAATTATAACATATAGAATACTATATACATGAGTATACGTATATATATATATATTTATATATTATATTGTAATATAAAATGTAGTATAATATTATATATATATAATATTATATTATATTATGTTATATACTCAAATATAATATAATATAATGTATACACATAAGTATACATATATATATATACATACGTTTCTGTGTACTTGCAAGGTACATCTCCGCACCCTCCTCCAAGCAGACCACCAACCAACAAAAAAAAGAAAAAGGCCAAAAAAACAAAAAAGGCAAAAAAAAATCACCACCCCATACAGTACTTCAACCCCGTTTGGAAGGATACACCTTCAAGCTCATTGTGGAGTGCACGGGATGCGACAGCTGCAACCCTTGGTTGAATCAGAAAAAAAGCACTAAGCCCAGAGAATGACCGGCGGAAAAGCGGTGCATCTGGGGAGGCTTTGCCTAGTGGCAAGACATAAAGGTCCTACGTACATCGACGTACATATCTATATATATATATACATACATACATACATACATACATACATACGTGCACACACCCACCCACGCACACAAACAACAAAACGAAAGCACAGCAGGGTGCAAACTTGCCGAAGGCCAGTTCGGTCCCGCATCACACTTGGCGGCGAGTTGAGAAGACGCCACATGGCGTCAATCAGCTGGTCTACATGAGCGTTGCATTTCGGCAAGCTTGCATTGCTTCAGCTTGTGCCAGTCTCAAACATGCGTTCTGTCCGCAACTGCTGAAGCCTTCCGCACATAGTGGGTGGTTCGGAGTACAGCAGGGCACCTGGGGACCTGCTGACCAGTGTGAAGACATCCGAGTTGCCAAGCAATGTCATTGCCATGCCTAAGCACTTTCGATGACATGACTTGGAAGCGGTGCGCACATACACAAAAGTACAACTGACTGTAGTAGGATTTAGACCGTCACATCGCGTCTCGGCATGGCTTCTGCCACTGCATGTTGCCTAATTATTTCCTGCTCCACCATCCCCCACCCACCACCTCCCTCGTTGCGGCTGCACAAGCCTCGCCTCCCTGTAGCATGTGAATCCGCTCGAACATGAAACTCATGCCAACCGTGCAAGGCCTGACTGAAATGTGCGCTCTCTTTTTCCGTGCTCGGGTCCGGATCCCCATAATACGTAGCAGTACTTCTCATGACCCTGGCACGCAGCTTTTCCCTGGCGACGTTGAAGCAGCTCCCGCCGGCCGGCCTGGAACTACGTGCTTAGCTCTATGGGTAGACCTCAGAAAATTCTTTACAACCATCTCTGATGCGTAGCCCCACGAAACGCAAGAATGTGTGCCTGGATTCCCTGGCAGGTTACCCGTGGCCATCTCTTAGCGCAACAGTTGAGCCCTTCCCTGGTTGAATAGTTGAGCGGAGAATCCTGAAACCGGCTGTCTTCGAAGGGGATCCAAGCTGTGATTCCAGACTCAATGTAGCACAGGTCCATTTGGTCTAAGCTTCCGTTCGATAAGAAAAGTGTCAATCTCCTCGGAGCTCTCTCTGCCATGGATCACGAACGATCCGACTCTATCTAATAATCTCGGCCACCGTTGCTCAGATCAACGAGCTTGCACAGCAAATGATGCGAAGTGCTCGAGTGACATTTCTGTGTTCACGAGTCACCAGACCTAGAACCCGGCAAATCAGCGAGCCGTCAAGATGGAAAAAGACGACGCGTCTAATTCCAGAGTCAAGACACTCCGGACTCGCAGTGGATGGCAGCCACATGCTGCGGGGCAGTTATCCTCCGCCACAAGCCTGGAATGGGAAGGAAACGAGCTTTATCACATGAGATGGCAAAGTCAACGCATTCTGTGCGTCTATGCCGCCCAGGATATTCAGGTAGTGGGACTGCAGGCAACGCCGTCATGGGGCCATGCTGCCATGCTACTCGAACTTCATCGAACTTCCTTCCGCAGCCTACGCGTAGATAGTAATGACCGCGTCATGCTTCCAGGCCTCTAGTTGTCGCCACCCATCTGGGACCGCATTTGCTGGATCAAATTGGCCTGAAGCTCCTGCGATGTACTGTACAAGTGAGGCTTGTCACGAGCCGGCGTTTCGAGATCGGACCATTCTGGGATATTCCGCGATCGTGATGATCTGCTGGGTGAGCAGCGACGGGGACCGGAAGTTGCATCAGCTGGTGAGTTGAGCTGTGGAAGCTACAGCACGCCAGCAGCTTTCAGCATCTTTCGGCGGTTTTGATTCTTTTCGTTGGCTCAATTCAGCGGAAGCAGGTGCGCCCCGGGCTTCGGATACGATCAGGACGTGACTCATGCAGAAGGCCTTGCAGCTAGATCAGCTAGCACAAAGCCCCGTATCGCAACAGGACCTGCAACAGCAAAGCAAATGCAACGGACTTGTTGACAGCGAGCCGAACATTCACCAAGCAAAAGATCTCCTGGCGAATCCTCTGGGCACCCTCGTGCATTGCGCGTGCTGCGATCCTGCCAAAAACTGGCGCTTGATTGCATCTATCTCACTAGGGCAGCAGTTGCAAGATCCTGGAGAGCGACTTGCGCTGAGAGTCGATGCTTCATCTGACTTCTTCCAGGTGCAAGATGAGTGCCTGTGGCCGAGGTCCTGCCATTGACTCCCATGCCGCGCTGCGGCTTGAAGGATCCGGCGGGGATGTTCCGCGGATTCTTCCTGAAGCGAATTGGCATGAGCCATGCTTGATTGTGATTTCGCTTCCGCCGGCTCGTGCTAACTAAAGCCATTCCTTGATAGGATTCGTCTAGCAGTCTACTGCTTGCCCTCACTAAGGCACTTGCAGCATCTATTTCTCCGATGTAACTTCCTCGCCCCCAAGGTGCGCATGGATACAAGCCATCCTGCTGGATAACCATGCTGGACCCCTAGGAAAATGCTGTTTCACAGCATTGTCAACAATTGGCTTCAGCTTTCGGGATGCAGCCTTTGTAGCACTGGCCAACATGCACCGAAGACCCACAACTCCAGTTCAAAATGCATTGCACACCCAGCCGCATACATGACAAAGCCTGGACGCTCCAACTTCGTTTACCCTCCATCTGTGCGGGGCGGTGCTGCATACTGCATGGTGCCATGCTAAGTATAGTCGGTGCTTCGTGCACCGGTCCACACTGTAACCTGCAGAAGAGCTGACTGCTGAAAGGAAACACTCGCGCGTGTGACGACACTCCTAGTTGGACACCAAGGCAGTGACAACGAGCTTTACAAGATGAGCACCCAGATGGGAAATATGAACTCGGCCATAGAAATTAGGATTATTGGTTTTGATTACTGCCTGTTGGCGGTCACTGTACATCCAAGCCGAACTTGCACAATAAGCAAGAAAGAAGTGTCACCACTCTCGCATTCTCCATCGCATGAGTCGTTGTTGGTTCTGGAACGACTTAGAATGGCAGATTTTGTCAAATCGCACCCGACATGCCTTTGGTCAGTGTTTGCTGAAGCTCAAAGGAATACGTGTTGATTTCGCTATGGCAGTGATACACCAAAATAATTCGGTCGCACAGTTACCCATAGCGCAGAAACATCAGCAGTCTCTGCCGAATGTCCTTCTCGGGCTTGCTGACAAACTCCTGCAAACCTAGATTGTGCAGTGCCTGATTGAGTTTGGAATCATCGGCACTGTAGACCCAGCTAATGGTAAGGCCAACCAGCTGGCAGTAAGCCTCTCTTCCTTCGCTAATGTACTGCTTGACGCCATCGTGGAAGGTCTTCTTCTCTTTTTTACCCCAGTTCTGGTTGACGTGAAAGAACTTTTTCTTGCTGCGAACGGCTTCTTTCACTGAATCTTCCAAGTCCCGCGTGGCCATCCGCCGCTTGGCCTGAAGCTCATCTGCCTTTTTTAAGCGACTTTGGAACTCCTGCATGTCGGACGCACTGCTCTGCTGTATGGTTTTGTCAACGATCACATCGAGTGTTCGGGCAGCTGTTGGCTCTTGTCTGACCGTGGCACGGCAGACTGGACACAAAAAGTGTTTGTGGGCGAGCCACTGATCTATGCATTCCCGGCAAAACATGTGCCCGCACTCTATGGAGGCAGCATGGACAATCCAGTCTCGGCAAATGGAACACACAAGCTCAGACTGAAGCTCCTTCAGATTGACAGCGGGGACGCTAGCTTCCTTTGAAGGCTGTTGCGATTTTGCTTCCAGCTGCTTGAACTTGGCATCCAGCTCTGCGCGCCTGGTATCAAGATCCAGCCTCTCTTGTGCTACTCTTGCCATGTGATCCTTCATGAGCTTGCCCATTTCCTGTTGCAACATGTTGTCGCCCTCTGCATCTGCAAGGTCACCAAGCCCGGGTGCGTCGCACTGCTTTGCTTCTTGCCAAGCAGCACTAGTGGAAACATCCCCATCCTTGACAGTTGCGGTAGCTTGGCCCACAGCAACTGCATCTGCTTGGGGTTCCCGTTTCCTTTTGCCTGGTCTTTCTGGAATCTGACGATCTTTCTCCTCAAAAACATACTCGAAGACAGGTCGGTCGTTCAGCTTCCTGACACGAAAGGTCTCTCAATCTACTACTCGAGACAAGCGCTTGAGCTAGCTGTTAACGTGAACATCACAGCGACTGCCGTCTCAGAACTTCACATTATCTGCTGTCTCAAAACTTTAAACGACTACGGGTAACCACAAGCACGCACATCGACAGAACTCTACGTAGCTCTGGCATAAACCCTTCGACCGACATACCCCGCCGAGCCACGCAGAGTATTGTGTGTTTACAGAGTAGCGCCGGAACAGGAAAATGCGATGCTGAATTCCCCAAAACGATTGCTTTTTGTCTTGCCCGCCAAGGATGCCGTGGGATGGGCTTTGGAGGCATATCATGGCCCTGAACCGAAGCAAAGAAAATATTTTATAAGCATGACTTTCGCATTTCACATCTCAAACGGCCATTGTGCAATTCATGGACAGCCTTGCTTTGCGACTTGGAATACCTCACGTTCCGCACAAGTGCCACTTTGACCATGGCCAGGAAATGAATTTCTGGAAGCACATCTTTCTCGGCACGCGCGCTTGTGTGCCTTCAACGCCCTGCAGGTGCATTATACATTTCTTGTAACCCCGAAGTTTGTATCCACTACAGGGCTCGTCACGGCTCGTCCTGATCCTGCAACGACGGCCGACTTGCAGCTGACAGTGACACCAACACAGAAGAACTGGATTGTCCCTCGGCATCCTACACATGGAGCGACTGGGATCACTAGTCGATACCTCTCTGCCTAAGTGCTGTATTTTCAAGATGCAGGCTGCGTCCTGCCGAAACATATAGAGTCACCATGTCTCAGGAGCTTGGGCGCATTGAGTTTCACGTCGTTGACATGGATGCCGTTCAAGCTCTTCTCATCTGTCAGGACCCAAATGCCTGGTTGGCATCGCACTGGCAGTAGCAGCTCGCAGACAGCTGTGAATTTATTAGGTTTGTCCGATGTGCGGTGGATGGAGAAAGGGGAACCATTGCCGTATGCAGGCAAATCCCTAGTTCACGATAGTTTTAAACGGAGATATCGTGTAGAATGGGATTCCATGATGGAACGAGCCACTTGGCTCGGTTTCTCCGGTGACTATTCAAGAACTGGGAGTCTTTTGGCAGAACTGTGAGAACTGCGAAGTCTTAAAGGTTTGCCTTGAGGACAAGGCCCAGGGAAGAGGGGGTCTGAACAAGTAACGCAAACATGCATCAAACTTACTATGGTCCTTAAACTCACGTGCCTTCAGCATCCACTAGTCTAGCATGGCAGCGGCTGATCATCTGCGGAACTTCTGGGCAGTCCATGACCACCGCGCACATGTCTGGCTGTCGGCCAACCTTCATCTCCTTGCCCGGAAAGAGGTATATCACCTAGCTGTGCTTGGAGAGCCAGAGGCTAAGTTAGTATGGTTGCATTGGTTCTTGATGCTGCTATCTATGCTAACGGAGACATGCATCGCGCTGAATCCCAGCAAACTAACTCCGGGCCTGTGCTACCGGCTTCCAGGCCGAGGGAGCACACAAATGCAAAACCCGCGGAAACCTTCAAGGCCGCATGCAGCCGCACCCCCTCCCTCTCCCACCCCGCCGAGCAAATCTGTGATGTGACAAACCCTGCACGGCTCAAGAGTATGGGATGTGGCCGAGGAAAGGGCAGCATGTCCGAGCTAGATCCCGTAGTGGCGTCATCTTTTCGAGTGTGTCATCGGGTCAAGAATCGGATCATCACGATGACACAAGCAAGGCTCCAGGCTTTCGATTTCAATTTCGGTGCCCTCCCCAGTCTTGAAATCGGGCCGTTCTTAATGCAATGCAGATCTGTGCTCAAACCCTTCTGCTCCTGTGGGCTAAGCCGGGGAAGAATGTGAGGGCTGCTAGGTGGTAACAGCAAAGGCACGGAAGGAGAAGTGAAGCGGCCCTTGGGATGTCCACTTGCATCTTGCAGCCACGGCAAAGTGACGGAACTCGCGCACTGCTCACCTCCTGGCCAATGCTAGGGCCACGGAAGTAAGGGATCGGCTGAGGACAGTTTTGGAGTCGGCGGCCTGATGTCCTCGCTTCACAGGTCTCTTCCAGAAGATCTTTGCGCACTAGCCTTGCTGCAGCGCAGCCGTCTGCGGCGCCTTTGGCAGCCTGGGCGGAAGATCTCTGTCACTACGCAAGTGACAGAACCTTGCAAGGTCGCCCTCACGCAGGACTCACACTGCGCCGCTGCACTGTCAACGTCTCCAAGGCCTTGAAGCCTGCGGGCTGTGCTTCGGCGCTGGACACTGGTGCACGAGCCATCGCCGGCTTTGAGTCGTGCTGGTCCACACGTGAGTACTTCATGCTAGGTCCGAGGGTAGTTAATGACCCCGTCTACATTCTTTCATCTAGCATGCAAGGATACTCCAGCACACCTCTTCGTGGTCAAGCCTAGAAAAACTTGGCACACTAATGACAATGAGCAGGAGAACACTGCAGTCCCTGGCGAACACTGCAGGCTGCGGGCCTGGAGAAGCAAGCTCAGTACTGGGCCCAAAGGTCAAACTTCTGAAAATGCTGTGAGTTCTGTCTCGCTACGCTGGTCACACTGCGAGCGTTTTGTGCGAGGTCGTCCAAAAGGAAGTGTTTGTGGCAAAACAGGATTCCGGGCAAGTTCTTTTCGCGTAGGCGACGGACGTGCATGCTACGGCAAGAACTTCAATGTTCTGATTCTTTCCGGCCACAATGCGACACCGGCGGTCATCGATTACGCACTTGAGAACCCTCTTACTGCGCTATGAACAGGTCAATGCATGGAGTTGAAACAACACGGTGCTTTGCAAACTGATCCCTTCCGCAACGCTGCGGCTGGCATCGCCTGTACATGGGTTAATCCTCGCACTAAACTCAGTAGAGGAAACTCTAACTCTAGTATGTGTACTTGACATTGACATCTTGTAGCACTGGGTCCTGGAGAGTCGCAACATGTCGCAACGCAGCCGAGTGTCTTCTGCCTCGGATTTGGGTCCTCTGTGTCGCTGCTGCTTTCCTCACCTTACATGTAGACAGCCGGACACTTACCTTATTTAGAGTATACCATGCAGCTCAAGCACTTGACAGGCTGCATAAGCATTCAAAGAGCTGGCAACAGCTACTGTGGTACGATGGGTCTCCAGCACTTTCGGCCCGAACCTTCTTTTCCTATCCTTGCCTGGTTGGGTTGATCTTGGAACTGATCTTGCGTCTCTTCCCGAAACCTCGCTGCTGACGTTGCCCCGCATCTTCCTTCTTGTCTAGCCTCCGGCAATGAAGTCTGCCGCAATCCCTGGGGTCGTTGTTCTCGCTTTGTCGGCATCCTGTTGTTTTAAGGGTCCCGAAAGCACCGCAGTCCTGCGGCTTCGCTGAAAGCTGCATCCTAAAGACACTTCGCCTTGGGCTGAGGAAGTCTGCAGGAAAGGGCAGCACCTGCAGAAGAGCAAATTTGCGACATGTAAACTCGCTCGCTGGCACGGCCAGTTAAGCATTTCCTGCGGCATGCAGCATGATGCGAACGGATGTTCCATTTTGTGGCGCTGAGATCCTCAATATGAAATGGTGCAGCACCTTGATTGGGGCGATGGTGGGTTTGGAATTTAATGGTTTTGGCTTGGCTTGGCGAGTGCCTCGTTGCAAAGCGAGCCGGGGTCGCACTTCCTCGATTGGCTTGGCTGTGGCAACACCCATAGTCTGCGAGGATGGGTTAGACAGGGTGAGGGTTCGCTTTTGCGGCATTGCATTGCAGCTAGTCGACATAGTCTTTCCCCAGCCACGATCTTTTTCCTTGGCCCATGACATGTTATTCCTTCGAAAAGCCGGTCTTTAAGCATCCATGGCAACTCTCTGCAAAGCCAGCGGCACAACGATCATCACTGTCGCAGATGGCTTCACTGCATCAGCCAGCACCTTCCAAAGCTCTTTGTAATACCTGAAAAAGTTGAGCGGCATCAGCGAACACAAATGTGCATGCGGTGTATTCCATGACTGTCGGCCTGTGCTGCTTGTCCTCATCCCACTTGGCCAAGACCTCGCAAAGCTTGGACTCCGCAGCCTTGTCCAGTCGGTACCTTCCATGCGCACCTAAGCACCCAAGAAACTTTCTTGTGTCGGCTGCAGTCGTGCCTCTTGACAAGTTTTTTCATCCTTGGGTCCTGGAGCGGTGGGACATGGTGGAACCGTTGCATCCAGCGGACATCTGAAACTTTAGCGGCACAGCATGTGCAGGTAAGACGGTGTTTCAGCGTGAGCGACATCATTTACCCAGCACTTCCGACAACTACAGAAATACACTCGGACTCTACAGTAACGTTGTTCCGCATCGTCGGCATTTACGCCTCGTCGTGCTCCTAGCCTCTTACGCCGTTCCGGCCTGGGCTTTCATTACATCGCAGCTTCGAACGAACCGCTTCACACTGAGACCACCACATGATGACTCTAGCCGAATTGTATGTAAATAGCATTGAAGTCTGTTAAGAAGCCACAAACCCTCCCCCAACAATATCTAACATGCAGGCGATCAAAACAGCTGTGCAGCTTCTCGCCAGACAGGCAAGATTCGGCGACATTCGGCGTCTACAACGTGCACTCAACACGACTCTGCATATTCTGCATTGCCAGAGTGCTGCACGCTCCGAAGGTCTTCGCGGAACACTAGTAAAACTCACATTCTTGGAACAAGCTGTTGTCAGCTCATCTATGCTACGCACATGGATCACTATTTGAGTCTTCAGGGATCGTGGGACGTAGTTACCAGGTTTGAAGTAGTGTAGACTCTAGGCACCGCAACTCAACTTACTATCCCTACAAACTTCACTAGTTGATTAATACTTAAAGCTCTATAACCCACTTGCAAAAGCCCCTGATTCTTCTCAAGTTGACATTCTGCCAGTGATAGGCGGCCAGTAACAACTGGACAGTTCTACATTGGATTCTGCATTTACACACTACGTATGTAAAACGTGCTTTTGACATCTGCGACCCGCACGAATAGTGAGCACCAACATACCCCCAAAACAGCCCGCGGGAATTGGCAAGATTCAGAGTTTGCAATGGTCAGCCTGCATTCTTCGGGGATGATTGCCACACAAACAAAGAGTTGTGGGGAGGGAATGAAGAGAGGAGGGAAGAGAGAGAGAGGGGCGACGGTGAGAGCACAGGGCGGAGGGGGGAGAGGAGGAGAAAATAATTTTGGTTGAATACTAAGCAGTTAAGCTGACATTTGTTGATAATCAGAACTGAGTTGAGGCTGGGCACGATGGAAACATGCAATATGCTGTATTGTGTTTGTGTGTACACCCTGATTCTAACAAGTTTTGTTTTAACCTGTTTTTCATTTTTTTGAAAATTGTTTTCGGCTGGTTGTTCTCGCTTTCGTGCCTCCCGGTATCCCAGTATTTGTGCCAATGCGGTCTTTGTGTCCCATTATTTACACAGGATGCTTGCTTCACAAGTCTGTGGTGCGGAGAATGCTTCTCGTCGAGGGGTGTGGGCGCTGGAGGCGTGGCTCATTGTAAATAAAACCATACGCGCCACCCTTTCTTGTGGAAAAAAACGTGGAAAACCTCGAATCTCAGCAGTGCTTCGGGAAAAACGATTTTAGGGTCATCCTTTGGATTCCGCGAGCAAAGCGGGCAAACATAAATCCGGTATTCACGAATCGCACCAGCAATGACATGTATGCGTATATATATATATACATATATATATATATGTTATACACTCTATTATAAAAACTAATATATACATATATATATATTATGCTGTTATATGCTATTATATATATTTATGTCTATATATGGTACCCCCACCTCTACCCAGGCCGTGTCCTGTTCAAGTCAGCCGCCTTGTCCCTAATATGTGTTCCTGTTCCTCGTTCGTTTTTTGTCTTCGGGAAAGCAAGTTTTTGCTTACTATACTTCTGGCTCCCGGGCTTCTGATTTAGGCTCCACTGTGTTCCGAATTCATAGGAACTGTTGGAAATAGGTAAGACCACTCTTTTCCATGATCTACCACGGAAAATGTTGGTTTTACCGCCTTCCCGAAACTATGGCTCCGGGCTCCCGGGGTTTCTCCAAATTCATGAAAATTGCTGGAAATGTCGGCAAAACCAACATTTTCCATGATTTGTCGGTGGGGAATCATGGAAAATGTTGGTTTTACCAGCAATTACCATGATTCCCGAAACCATGGCTCCAGCTCCCGAGGTTTCCCGTGCAATGTTTTTTATCAAAGTGTGCTTCAGTTGGCCTGCTTCGCCACACCCCCGCAGTTTTGTCACACGCGCTCACTACTGTATGTCGGCTCCTCGCGACCACCGGCATCGTTGACGAAACGTTTTGCCTATTCCTATGCCATTGCTTGTTTCTTTCTGCACGCTAATGCCCTCGCAACCTTCTCTTTCCGATTTCCTTCGTGCTTGCTCATGATGCGCTCAAGCAAACATACAGGTTGCTTTCGGCACGACACAACATCCATAATTCATGGTTGACGCATGTTTGCGAAATGCCCGACCCCTCGGCCCTCTTACGCAGATCATCAGCACAAAAACGAAAACCTAGGTACCGGAGGGGGGGGGGTAGCATATACGCACATATATATATACATATATTTATATTATTTATATTTATGTTATATATATATATACATACATATATTTATTTAGATATTTATTTATATTTGTTCATTTATCTATATTTCGATTCACTTACTTATTTATCTATATTTATGTGTGTGTATATATATATGTACATATGTACTGTCGCTAACAAAAACATGTGTTCATACTTTATACTACATACAAGGACTATATGCTATATGCTAGTAATTATGTATGTACTATGCACTATACACGATTTTCTATATACTGTATACTATGCACTGTACATTATATGATAGATATTACTTACTATATATTATCTATTGTCTACTATCTATTCTCTCCTACTTTCTTTTCACTATATAGTACTGTATAATGTATATACTGTATATAGTATATACAGTATATACAGTATACTGTTCATATACGATGGAATATAAACTATTTCAGTAAATAGTATATGGTATATAATAACGTGCGCTATACACGGTATTTCAGTACAAAGTCTATAATACACATGGATATACTACATGCTACTAAGTACTATCTATATATATATATATACATACATACATACACATTATATGTGTGTATGTATTTTTGCCGGCCCTATGCAAAGTTGCACTGTGAGTAGGGCAATAAAAAAAGTGACTCGCTTGTTCAGGACAGGACGGTTCACTGCCACCCTGTGAAGTTGCAAAAAAGCGTAGGGAATAGTAAAGTAAGGTGCTCGGTAGGGAGGGCCTGAGGAGTCTGTGAGAGCCAGTGCCACGCCAATTCGGTGCACTGCTCCGCCCAGTCTACTCTGGGAAGGCCTTATCCATGACTTTACAGTACCACCCCTGTAAACAACGCTTTCGTAAAAACACGGTTCCTTTCCAGGTTGCTTGGGGTTGCTCCCAAATGCATGGCCAAACAACTTTAACTGTGCCCGGTGGATGACTGTGAGTGGCTTCCAGCCTGTCGAGGTGTGCTGCTGTGAGCGCCGCTGATTCCATCCCATAAGACAGCATCGGGACAAACACCGCGTTGTATGTGGCCAATCTGGTAATGACTTCGGTCTTGCTCGGGGAGTCAGACCATAGCATGACACCCAAGTACTTGGCCTGTGTGGCTGTTTTCATCCCTTCACCCGTGAGGAACTGGATGTGATTGGAGGCAGTGGTCGAGCGGAGCAATACCGATTTTTCGAGTTCAGGGAAAGACTGCCTTGCGCTACCGCCTCCTGCAGCATGTGCAGAATCTGTTGTCCCCGCTCCGCTGCGCCTATAAAGATGGCGGTGTCGTCGGCGTAGGCCAAGTCGTAAAGGCTGGTTCTGGCTGTATAGCCACGGCAGGAACTTACCATCCTTTTTGTAGGCCTCGTCCACAGCCTTCAGCCTCTTCTGCAAAATCCGAGCGAAGCGTTTGTATGTCGTGCTCAACAATGAAATGGGCCGGTAGTTATTTGGATCAGCCATCGTCCCCTTCTTGCATCTCGGCAACGATAGCTTCCGACCAGACCTGTGGGACAACACCTGTGCGAAGGGCCGGCTGTGAACCATTGAAGAGCCTCCGACGGATGTTGTCTGGTCCTAGAGAACTGTTGGCCGCCATCCCCTTACGTAGGTAAGCTGCACCGCCCCTCTTCAGTGAAGGGCTCCATGCTCACTGAGTGGTCAAATGCTGGGCGAAGGTGTCTGCCTGCTTGCTGCAGCCTGTGGACATGCCGTCGGGTCCTGTGAGGGTGACCGTGCGCGGCTTGTAGTCCGAGTGGATGCGTTTGATCCAGCGCCACTTGTTGCGGGCATCCACCGTGGCCTCGCTCTCCGGCAACCGGTCTTTAAGCCACTTTTGCTTGTCGAGCCGCGTCTGTGAGCGTATGGTTTTGCGTCGCCGCAGCTCTTCCTCCTTGTCATGCTTCTTACGGGCCAGTGAGCGCTGCTCAATCAGTTGACATGTCTGATTGGAGGCCCAGGAGTGTTTGAGCTGCTCCTGTGTGGGGGATGCTGTGGTCCATCGCCCTCAACATTGCATTCTGCAATCTGTCCCACTGGGCGTCGATGTCTTGCTGGCGGTTGCTGGGCTGTGAGGAGTCAGTCGTTGTGTCGTGGAGCTGGGTTGGCCAATGGCCTCTGAGGTGGCCTGCGACGGGTGGGTTTGGAATTTTTCGTTGAAGTCCCGCTTTTGCTCCGCCTCCGGTCGCCTGATGGGCTTCCTGGCTGACGGCGTGGTCCAGCTGAACCAGATCTCCATTGGGCCTCTGATGGGTGACCCTGTTTTGGGTGGCCTTCTGCATCCAGGTCTGTCATGGGTGACACTCCGCGCAAAAAAGGTTGGAGAGCTGGTCTTGTTCGTCGGCCTGCGAGGCAAGCTGTTCAGCTCGACACCAAACAGGGCATGTCGGCCCACGCCGCCCGTGTTCGCGGCCAGCTCATCGAGCAGCTGGGCGTTAAAATCCCCCAGCCAGAAGAAGCGGCTCACTTCTGGGGTGGCTGAGAAGTAGCTCGCGCAGGTCTGCCCAAAACTTGTCATGTATCTCCTGCTCCCTTTGGTTGTGTGGAGCGTACACCCCACCTAAACTGTGAGCGGGGCCTCGGCCGTATCTATCTTGAATGTGAGGAATCGACCGTTGATGGCCACGATGTCCAGGAAGCACGGTGTAGGGCGAGGGGAAGTGATCAACGAGACCCCTGTGAATGGTCCTGTAGGCTGACCATTGGCATCGAGGATGTCGTCTGCACTGTGTGTGACCGAGTACACATCGCTCATAAAACGGCCCTGTTGCTTGCTGTGGATCCAATTTTTTCCAGCGGGCAGGGCACAGCCGTCTGTTGCCCGTCAGCACCGACTGCTTTCAAACTTCGCGGGATTATAGTTATGCCAGTCATGCATGCCTATTAGAGCGGGGCTTCTGGATGACAGATCTCCATCTCTCGCGGTTCTGGGAAAAAAAGCTGCACCTTACGGTACAAGGAGTGTTGTCTATTCTCATGAGAGATGTGGTTCCACGTGCCCGATAAAATCTACTGGGTTGTAGGAATGGAGAAAAACTCATTATTGATATCTGAGTTTGAGGGCGGCGCATCTGATGACATAAAGTCAATGCCCTGAATGACTCTGCCCAACCCGGGCGAGGGCGACCTGGCCTATTCGGAGAGGGGACATGTCTACACGCGTGAGGGCCCATAAAGGTAGCTTGGTACATCTTGGTACTCAAGAGTGTAAGGTGGCCAATCAATTGGAGTTTTCGCTGCTATTTTGCTGGGAGGGCGTGGGAGCGCGACCCTTTGAAAAGGTGCGGCCTGCTAGAAATTCGTTCGAGCAATCTGCAGTGGATTTGTAGATGGATCGAGGACCCGATGGTAAAAGGATGACTGTATTTTAAGCACAAGGCGGAAGGACATAAAGTGTGGTAGTGTAGTGTATTCATTTTCTGAATCTGCAGTGGGGATAGAAGTGAGCTGTCCATAGCGTAAGTAAGGATGGAAATAGCTATAGACCTAAAACCGTAAGTTTCCAGGAAGGAGGAAGAGCGGAGTAATTTTGAGGCCGCAACTGCTTGCGAAATTCTGTAGTTCAAGTTTTTGCGGTTCGATGAAAGCGATCCAACTATACGCCAAGTTACTTAACTCCTCAAATAATGGGACAAGTACACAATCGTGGTTGTGTCCGGAACCAAAACGACAGTCGCAGGGCCGGGAGGAGGAAGGGGAGTAGTACATCCTGCGAATCGAATGCAGGTGTAAATATTCACATTATGTTCACATTCATCTTGGTTGAGGGTAAGGCCTCTGGCCTGGCCGTGAATTAAATGAAAGAGCCTAATTGAGCTGCGGCGCCGAGCAGGAAAGGAGAACCGTGTCGTTTGCATATTCCAGGCCCAAGAGGGGGGAGGTAACGTGCAATACACCGGAGATTTCACCATATAGGTCCTGGTAACGACATCATAGAAGAGGTGTGCGTGAGGACGTGGCCGAAAAGATATGGCGATAACGGGCACCCTTGACGGAGGCCCTTGGTCTGAGTTTGTCGGAGAGATTTTCGTGAGGAATCACGAACGACGAAGGCGGGGTTATTGTATAGAGCCATAAAGACCTGGCTGGTCTGCACAGGAATTCCAGCATGTTCCATGGCTGCATGTGTGGCGGTAAATGTAACGCAGTCAAAAGCCTTAGACCAATCCAAACAACCGCATGGAATTTGGTCTTTTGTCATTCAAAGACTTCTAACAGGCGTCGCATAGCAGGGATGGGCTGGTTATAGTAGAGCGGCTTTTGCGGAAGCCGTATTGTGTAGAGCGGATACGGGAGTTGACATGAGATTCAAGGCGAGATTGGAGCATGGAGGCGAAAATTTGACACGAGACATTAGTGAGAGAGATACAGCAGTAATTTGAAAGAGAACGCGTATCCTTTTGATGATTCTCAGCCAGCATAAACAGTACAACTACTTCGAAAAAGAGCCAGGAGTCCGGAATGGAGCAGCAAGGTTAACACTGATTGTAGCGATCCAGGAGATATAGCTCAAGGACGAAAGGAGGCATGCTTGTAGATTTCACCGGGAATATCGTTGGGACCTGGTGCCTGTCGATGCTTAAGCTTGTGCAAGGCGTTGTCCAAATCCTGCATTGCCAAAAGCGAAATTATCGCTGGGAGCTCGGATTGTGGGGGTCTGTGACAGGGACAGGCGGGTCCTGCGAGCAGTGTCAAGCGTTTGTGGGGACATATTCTGCAAAAGATTTTACGCATTGAGAAGAGGAGACAAGCTTATCGTTTGCATTACGCAGACCCTGGGAGCGAGGTTTGAAACCTGCGGGGACGTGACGCGAGTGGGACCACTGCTGAACAGAGCTACCTTGAACATCAGAAAAGAGATGTTGTGCTATATCTTTTCTTATCCTTGCGTGCAGCCTTCTCAATTTGTTGGCGGCAGGGGCGAACAATTCCTTTGCATTGCGGTGAGCTTGCAGGCACCGCCGAACGCGCACATTGCCACCTGCTGAACACACATGCGGACACACAGGCTTCATGAGATTCCCAAAAAGGGTTTGCCACAGCGAAAGGTGCTTCAAGTGACATATCAAGTAGATGCGGCAATACAGGTGACCCTGCTGTGGGCAATCAACGGCAAAGGAACCCGGGGCACACTTGGCACCGGCACGGGCATGAGCCGTAAGGCGACCCATACGCCATGCCACAGAACAACTCGATCAGGACGGGGTAGGGCTGCGACTCCTGGTCGAACGAAGCAGCACGCAAGTGCTGGGTCAAGGATTGCGGAAACGTTTGACAGTAAAACTCGCTAACAGTTGCCGGTCACCGATCCAGGGCATGGTGCAGTGCCAAGCAAGGCTCCAAAGCCTCCAAGTGCGAAGCGAAATAAACCTAGCTTTTACCCTCTTTCGCTTGAGTCAACCGGGCTGTGGTCACGTACCCACTATACACTATACAAGGTACACACTACACTACAGAGAACACAAGTAAGGCTTGAGATTTTCTAGCACCCTCCTTGTAGTATGTAGCTTGTCGCTCCCCTGTCGCACACTGGGCTCAAATGCGTCACTTAGTCTTGCTTTTAAAGCAATACCTGCAAAACGTGAACCCCTTGATGTCATCGGCTCTGAACAGTCCTTGACACCCAGGGTCTGTGTGGACTTTGCGTCCCTTCCGGTTCACAAAGAGCTTTCCGTGCGGGCGAGAAGTGTCATGTAAACAGTCTCACCTCTTGGTTTCCAAATGGATACACTTACAGAGGCAAAAGATCACTCCAGCCACCATTGTGATGATGTTCAACGTGAAACCGATCATGATGTAGGGCATCCACGAAGCGACGGTATCACCCGCTCCATAAGGGATAATTAAGATCCATTAGGTATCTCCCTCAGAGGCCGGTGTCTAGACGAACTGCTTTGTGCTGAGCCTGGTGCACTGCTGCGGCTGCCACTTCTTCCAGCTTGCTAGTGCACCGATTGCATCGTGTTCTTTGAGACATGCTTGTCCAGCCGTTGCTTGTCCAGGGTGGATGGACCTGGCATCTCCCTTCCTTCTTCCGCTTCGGGCCCTGTGGCCAAATGTTTGTCAAAGCTTTCGATGAGTTCTCCGTTCCAAAAGGTCTTCTGTACTATGACTCTCTTTTCTCTCACCAGTTCTTGGATGTACCAGTGTCCTAGATCTATGTGCCTCATCTTCCCAACTCCAAGTCTCCTGGCAACTTGGATTGCTGCACTGCCGTCGCAAAACAGCCGTGGCACATCTATTGACATGCCAAAGTCTTCAACACCAAGGCTCCGCACAAACACCTGGTCCTGAGCAGACTGCGTTAGGGCTCGGACTTCTGCTTCGCCTGAGCTCGTTGCTGGCGTCCCCTGCTGGTTCGCGCCGAGGTCTCCACGACACTCCTCTCCTAGGACTATCACCTGGTCACTGGTGCTTTTCCTGTCCTCCTTGTCTCCTGCCCAGTCGCTGTCGCAGAACCCCTGAAGAGGAATCCAGCGACCGAATCAACCGGCTCGTTGAGCTTGGTCACGTGTCCAACCTGCATTGTTCCCCGAAGGTACCTCCCGAGCACCTTCAGGTTTTGCATGTCGCACTCACGCGGGTCTCTGATCCGCGTTGCCAGCTCCTTGCAGGCAAACTCGATGTCTGGCCTGTCCTGCGATAGGTAGGTGGCGCTACCTACGCAGCAAGATCTCTTTAGCTTTGTTGTGGAGGGGTTTGTTGTCGCTCAAATTGAGCTTCTTTCCTGGCACTGGACTAGGCTTGGCATCCTCAAGTCCTAGCATCCTAAGGATGTCATTTGCAGGCTTCTCGTTTGGCAGTGTTACCACAGCATTCTCAACAAGGATTTGCTTCCCACCAAGGAACTCAGAGGTCACTCCAGGTCTCCCATCTTCATCCACATTTTGGAAGCTGCACCTGTAGCAGGTCCTGTAGCAACTCAGCTGGTCCGCACACATCGAAATCATCGATATGATGGACCAAACAATACCTGTACAAGTGCATCTAAACACACAGGCATCAAGCTTTCTACGCTTGAAGCAGTACTTGTCCTTCGGTAGTTCCTTCGTGAGGATCTCTTCCTGCTGACTGCCTATCATATAAGTTTCAGGCCACTTGCCATAGGATTTCTTCCTTTGGCACTCCACGCATTTGCTCTTGGATCTCGGGACTGGCTTTCACAAACCATTCGTCATACTCTTCAAGCCACTCTTTTGGCGGTCACATGAGCACTGGCTGCCCACGAGCGTCCCCGCCATCTCTGGCTATCAGGAATGCCGAGCTGAGGTCGGCCTTCACCCGAGGCATCTTTGTCACCAGAGAGTAAACTTCCAAAAGCTTGCGCGAGGTCACGTGCGGCGTTGGACAAAAGTTCGAAGGGTACTCCGAACTGTGCTTCTCGTTCGCCTCCTGCTTCTTTTTGAAGTCTTGGCACGTGAGTCTTGACTTCGCCACTCCTTCTGTCACCTTGTCAACCCACTTGTGACCGAAAACGGTCAAGTCTTTTGACAACTGGCGCCGGTTCCTTGGCGTGAAAGCTCCGTAGACCTCGTTGAGCTTTCTCAGCTCTTCCTTTCTTGCTCTCTTGAACTCTCTCTCGTCCATTTGCACGGTGTTCAGGTAGTCCATGATATTGCTAACCATGCTGGAGTTGAACAGTCCCTCGTTTTGCTTCAACCACTTCTTGTAGGACTCGTAGCCTCCCTGTCCAATCCAACTGCTCGCCCCGTTCCACGCACCATCGTTGCTGATGCAGGAGCAGAGATCATATCC